CTATGGGAAATTTGGGGTATTGAAGTTTTTTGCGGCTTCACAAGCGAATGCAATTTTAGGGCTTGACATGTTTGGTATCTATTTACCCAACGTGACCCCCATCTTTTATATTATACCAAAAATTGGGTATTCTATTTCTGTGCACTAAATTTCATTTTAGTGTATTTATTCCTAAAAATGCTGGTTTGATAGACATTTGTGCAAATACTATGCGACACAAAAAATTACAACTAGCATTTTTTTTTCTACAAGGCCTCTGCTTTCAGAAAATATAATTGTTTGGGGGTTTGACTCTGTTTTCTAGCCAAAAATTCAGATTATATAATGCGTGTGCAAATAGTAAGAAATTGCTACAGACAGCAAGTGGTTAATTGTCTTGAAAGAAAGCTCCTCTGGGGCAGGAGCTATAATGAATATGCGTGTGCCCTCTTTAAGGCCTGGTTCACACCTGAACGTTTTGTGTATGCGCGTTTTCCCCTGGCGTTTTTGCGCGTTTTAAGAAGCGTTTTTGCACATAAAAAACGCGTGACGTACGCGCGCTTTGAGCGACTACAGAGGTGTCCAATGAAAAAGAATTCCGGTCTTTCCGCAAGCGTCCAATGAAAAAGACTTCCTGAGACGCAGTGTCTTTTGTTACAGAGGAGAGTGAGCTATTTCATTGATTTTGCATCGATTATGGAGCTCGGCAAACGAAGACGGACTGCAGCAGTCATTGCAGCAGTGCGGTTGATACGATTTGAGGAGAAGGAGAGTTGGCAGGCGACGTTTCTGGGTCCATCCAGTGATAGCGAACCGAGAAGAAAGAGGCCAGTTTTGGGCCATGTACGAAACACTTCGTGGACGTGAGGAGAAGTTCTTCACCTGTACCCGCATGTCCATAAATAGGTTAGTACATAAACAATTGTTAGTGCTTATTGTTGTTCTGTCCCATGCAATAGTGGCATCATCGATTTTACTGGAATATATGTATATGTTTTTCATGTATTTATATTGCTAATTGCTAGTATTGACCACAAACCTTTTATATATATATTACAGTTTTGATGAGCTGCTCGGAATTTTGTCTGTCCAGTTGGAGCGTCAGGACACATTCATGCGAGACAGCATTCCTCCACCGGAAAGATTGATCATTACTTTGCGGTAAGTTCACTCCATCACTCCTTTGTTGAATTATAGACCAATTAAACATTGGCGTAAAGAAGCATAAATAGAGTTATATATGATTAAATGTGTGCTCTCTGTGATTTTCAGCGGCTCTAGGTATGAAATTAGTTATTTATGTGTACTGATTTATAAATATAAATTAGTGCATATCAATCACCAATTTCGTATATATACACTCTCACATGGCGAATTGCTCAGGCAGCGAGGTGTGAGCTGCACTGAGTTAAAATAAGGTAAGCAATAGGCAAGCTGACAGAACTGTTTTGCTAAAAAGCTGCATGAAAATCAGTTTAAGCTGCCAGACCAGTGCAAGAGCAAGGTAGGGACAGTGCACATGTAGTGGAAATACAAGTAACAAAGCAGCTATTTTCAGATCTGTGATACACCGGTTTGTGGAACTACAAATAACAGATCAACGCTGATCTGTGACAGTACCCCCCTCCTTAACTAAATTATAATCTGTTTTCAAGTACTATTTATATGGAATTGTATATTAATGCTCTGTGTGTTGTGCCCTGTGCGTTTGTGCTGTTCTAACCTAGGTGTCTTGGTGATATGCATGTTGACGTATGGCATGTGTGAACCTCCTCCATATGTTTACCACAACCTTTTATATAACAAAATCCTAAACATATTTTAAACCTTCATCTTAAACCCTAAAAAAAACACACAAACTCATTGTTAAATTCTCTTAAAATTTTACTATATAAAAATAACATCAGACAAAAGGCATTTCCTGCTCAACCGGGTAGGAGAAGAAACTGAAAACGGTGCCTATAATCAAACATGAAACTACGGAATTTTCAAGGCCAAATTTATAAATTTTGATAATTTGGGAGGGCAAAGTTAGGCTCGTCCACCTGCATGTCCTCCCTCGTTCCACGTGTGGAATAGCCAGCTGGTATTTGTGTGTTGGTGGTGGAGCTATGTGCCAGGCTGGTGGAGGGATAAAAATAGGGGGAATGTGGGCGTGGGTGACGTGTTTCGGGGTGGTGCTGATGCTGCATGGGTGTGTGTGGGTATGCTTGGGAAGCGTGTGTGTGCATGCGTTGGACATGTTGAGGTGGATGTCGAATGGGCGGGGCAGGTATGGGTGCAGTGGCATGTGGTGTAGAGTCATCCGGGAAAATTGCGGAGTCAATGACTCTGGTGATTGCTTCCCGTATTTCCGACTGTCTTCGTAAAGGCACCATTTTCAGTTTGTCCTCCAAGCTGAGCAGGAAATAAGCCTCGCCTGACAGCCTGGGGACAGGATGTGACATAGAGTCCAGGACATCAATAAGTCTGTCCTATTTCCATTCTCTGGCGTCGTGGCCCTCGATGGTGGGGCAGACGGGGTTGGTGTTGCAGGTGGGGGTGGGCTCAGTGGTCCTGGGGAGAAGGACGGCTCAGTGGCTACTGTGGCCGATTCCACCTCGTCCTCTTCAGGCCTCTCGGTAGGTTCCCAGCTACTGTCGGTGTTGTAAAGAGTAATAAACAATACATAAGTATTTGCTATATATTATTCTATGCATGTTAGATAAGACTATATTCATGACATAGTAATTGACGTGACTTACCTACGCATTTCAAGACATGGAATCAGAAATGCCAGCTGCTCCGCATGAATGTAGCTGTATGGGGCACTGGCAGCCGAGCCACTGCGGTATTCCCGCTGCCTTCTTCGGTGGCGCGTAAAGGCGCCCTTAATGCTTTTCCACTTCGTTTTTAAGATATTGACTGTGGAAACAAAATGTAAACATGAACTCATTAAATTCTTGCTTTTATCTTTCATTTCTTAGGAATTTAGCGACTGGACAGTCCTTGGCAAATCTACATTTCTCGTTCATGATTGGGAAATCTACTGCGAGCAAGTTGATTAAGGAAAGATGCTGTGCGATATGGGAGGTCGAAACCCACCAAAGAGGAGTGGCTTGAAATTTCCAGATTGTCACGTCATGCAATTTCCCAAACTGCGCGGGAGCCATAGATGGCAAACATATCCGCATTCTCAAACCAATTGGGAGGGGCAGCCGATTTTTTAACGATAAATTTTTTTTCCGGTCGTTCTCTTTGCGGTAGCAGATTCAAACTACTGCTTCCGCTATATTGACGTGGGATCCTACGGCAGCAGCTCAGACTCTGCGGTATTTGCCCATTCACAATTCGGACTGAGGTTGCGCCACGGGGATCTTGACCTCCCGGGGAACACCGCGCTGCCTGGTACCAATCAACCTGCAATGCCTTTTGTATTTGTGGGAGACGAGGCATTTGCTCTTGGTGAGCATTTAATGAGGCCCTACTCCAGTCGTGGACTCAGCCTGGAGAAGCGGGTCTTCAATTATAGGCTCACCAGAGCACGCAGGGTGGTGGCGTGTGCCTTTGGCATACTCTCCAATAAATGGCGCTTCCTGCACTCGCCAATAAATCTCAAAATAGAAAACGCCATCTCTGCGGTGAAGGCAGCTTGTGTCCTTCACAATTTTGTGCGTCGCAGAGATGGCTTTAATTTTGAAGATTCATTGGCACATTGCATGGAGAGTAGTCAATGGAGCGGCAGCCAGGGAACAACGAATGGTATTTGCTGCATACTTCATGTCACCTGAGGGGGAGGTGTCATGGCAGATGCAAGCGATTCAGTCAAGAATAGCCTCCAAAAATAAAAATTACTTTTTTTCCTTGTGCTGCTACCAATAAATTTGATTTGAATATAAAAAAATTTGAGCATTGTTTTTTATAAATAGCTGCACGCAAGTCAAATGTAAACAATGCATGCATGTCCCATTAACACACTTCATGCACGCATGTGACATGAGAACACTGCACGCATGTGACATGAGAACACTGCGCGCATGTGACATGAGAACACTGCATGCAAGTCATATGAAAACAATGCACACATGTCACTACACACTGCATGCATTAAGCATGAAAACATACCACACATGCAAGTCACAGAAAAAAACGGCATGCATGTGACATGAAAACACTGCACGTATGTGACATGAAAACACTGCACACATGTGACATGAAAACACTGCACGCATGTGACATGAAAACACTGCACGTAAGTCACATGAAAACAATGCGCACATGTCACTACACACTGCATGCATTCTGCATGAAAACATGCCACACATGTTACACGGAAAGACTGCACGCAAGTCATATGTAAACAATGCACGCATGTCGCATTAAAACACTGCATGCATTCTGACATATACCTCTTAGCTTCTTTCACTTGTTTGGAGAAAGTTTCCCAATCAGGCCACGTTGCTCCTCCAATCTCTTCCCATGCACGTTGCCTGATTCGCCTATTCTTATAATTGGCATGCCTCATGTCATAGAGACAGGCTTTCGCCTTCACCAGGCGTATGAATGCCTCTGTATCCAGCAGGCCACATGCAGTAGAATCCTCCATTTTTTTTCTGCTTCTTGCTCACCCAACAACTTTTTCTGCAGAAGGGAGTGGTCTGTAGCCATGTGCGGAACGCGCATTCTATGAAAACGCGCACACACTAATTTCAGCCCGTTCACTTCGAAGTCTATGGGCGCGAACGCGCTACAAAACGGCCCAATACGCCGCAAAGATGCTCAAGTTCTTTTTCTGGCGTAGGCCGTTTTGTAGCGCTTTCGGACGGGCTGAAATATGCCAAGGTGTGAACCAGACCCATTGAATACAATGAGATTTAGATGTTTGAGCGTTTTGTAGAGCGTTCGTAGAACGTTGAACGCGCTACAAAACGTTCAGGTGTGAACCAGGCCTAAAGAGCTGTTATAAATAACTTCAATTTTCTTTTAGATTAAATTACAATAGCTGCTTGTTTACCTATTTTAAACTGTGTTTATTTCTGTAGTCCTTACAGATACATTGGACAAGAGAGGTGTAATAGGACAGCTCAAAGCACAGATCCGTGCTGAAGTTTTTGCAGCTTTGGATGATCAGAGTGAGCCACGGCCTGTATTGTCACATGAGAATCTTCTCATAAATGAAATGATCAGGGAATATTTGGACTTCAACAAATACAAATACTCATCATCTGTCCTGACTGCAGGTAAGGTTACTTGTCCAGTGCATCAATATAGGCAAATATAGTAGGCCTATCAGTTTGCTGGCAGGCTGATGTTGCAAATAGGAAGGTTAACAAATTAGAGAGTAATGCTTTTGGGCAAAACCTTTAAGTATATTTCCACTTTTGCAGCCAAATTAGGATAACACCTATTTTATATTTATTACATATTCATTCACACAGCATAACTAAAAAAAAAAAAATGTTGCTTACATATTACTTGCTCTTTTCTGAGAAAAGTCCTCTCTAAACTGATTTTTCCTCTGGAATGAAAGGGGACCGTGGAGGTTAATGTCTACCTTAATTTACCCTGTCTGTACTGTGCTAGCAAAACTAGATTTAAACATCTAGATGCATAGTATGTTAATAAATGTGAAGCTCAGTTTCCCGATTATTTCTATTAGGGACAGGGTTTCCGGTCACTTTGATATTGTAGAGAAGCTTGCAGTCTGTCAAAAGGCCTGCTTCACAGAGACATTTAACCACTTGCCGTCCGCCCGTTGTAAAAAAACGGACGGATGGCACTGCTGCATTGGCGGGTTGCCGTCTCCAGATGGAGAGAGCATAATGACCTAAAGACAAGTTCTTTACCAAGCTGCGTGTCCTTCGCTGTCTGACCACAGGCTGGGGACGGGCACTACTTGTATGTTTTACTTAAAGTAGAATTTAAGCCCCCCCCCCATACCAGCACCGCCAGCAAAAGGGCATCTAAATCAGGAGAGGAAGAGGAAAAGGGCAGGAGAGGAAGAGGGCACCTAAATCAGATCAGCTATGTGCACTGTAACTCCCTGTTCTTTCTGCCTTAAACCGCTGACATCTGTGCATCACATTGCTGACCTCTGTACTTGGCATTACACCGCTGACCTTTGCACTCTGTGTTGTTACTGATCTCTGTACTTTGCGTCACACTGCTGAGCTGTCGGAGGTACGGCCGGGGCAGGGTAGGGGTTAGGTTGGGGAACTGGTGGCGAGTAACTCTTAAGGCCTGGCTAGTAGCTCAGGGCCTGAAATTTTGAGCCCTGTGATAGTACATATTATAATCTACGCGCACATATAAAATTGTAGGTGTCAAGTTGACAAAATTCTCTAGAAAATTTGAAACTGGTTATTTGGGATCTGTTTGCCGCAGTCATGCGGCGAGGGCACTCGTTGCGATGGGGCTGGCGCGCTGGTATCGGAAATCCTACCCCCGATCCAGGCATCAGAACCGGTGGGCCCAAATAACCTATGGCCACTTCAGAAGGCAGAACCTCTCCTCACAGCAGGTAGGATGACACCTCCTGAAATGATTGGTCAAAGGGCTAGAGCCCGCCCACAGCCAGATCCCAATAAATTGGGGAGATGGAATTATGAACATGGTATTCGTCTGGGAGACTGTATCTAAGAACACAGTGTTTACAGGTTTCTGGTGTTCTCCCGCAAGCAGGACAAACAATATTGCCTAACGGTAACGTTTTTATCCTATTTTATTTTGTCAGTAGCCAACATTTTTTGTATGTCATTGTCAATCTTTTTACATTTGTACATATTTTGTTATGCACTGCCCGCCTAGGGATAATAAACTATAAAATTATTAAGTGGCCTTCTGTGTACTAAACCACAAATTCATCCTCCTAGAGAGATTGGTTCTTGTTACTAGTGTCTGTATGCTCAATGTTAACCTGTATGAAATTGCATTGTGTGTTTGCAGATTGTATGCAGGTTAGTGTCAGTGTGCATATGTTAGCAGATCTGTCAGACGGGGATCTGTGTGTGTATGGTTTCCTAGCAGACCAGTCCATGGACAAATGGCTGGTGGTGGCAGTGGCAAAGTGGTAACACAAGGATTCTAGCTTGTAGGATAGCTTGAGGAATCATAGAAGTGTGTGTTAACCGCTTGAACACCAGGTGTTTAGACCCCCTTCCTGGCCAGGCCATTTTTCAGTGTTCAGAGCTGCAGTACTTTGACTGACATTTATTCCGTCATGCAACGCTGTACTGAAATTAATTTTATACCATTTTTTGGGGACAGATAGAGCTTTCTTTTGGTGGTATTTAATCACCACTTGGGGTTTTATTTTTTACTATTCAGGAGGAATTACTGAAAATGTTGGGAAAAAAACGTTTTTTTTAAACAATATGTTATAAAACAACTAATATTACCCACTTTTTTGATAAAATATAAAAGACGGGGTCACGTCGGGTAAATAGACACTAAACATGTCAAGCTTAAAAATTGCAAAAAAATCGCAAAAAAATAGCATACCCAAAATTGGCCATAGACGACGCTTTAAAAGCTTTTACCGCTCATCAGTTTAGTGTTATCAGTGATTGATAGCCCTAAAATTATTGCTCTCACTGCGACGTTCACGGCGATATGTAACATGTGCGGCGTAATGGGCGCATTCGTCGTTTTCGCAGGTATACATGCGTGTATGTAGGGGTGGGGACTTTTAAAAAAAAATTGTTTTTATTCTTTTTTATGTGTAACTTAAAAAAAATTTGGGGGAAAACCTTAAATTTTTTTCCTATTTTTTTTTCCACTTAACTTTATTGCTAAACCCCCCCTATGTGATAGCAAAAGAGGTGACCGGTCCTCTTTATGTAGACATCAGGGGTCTCCAAGACCCCTAATGTCACCTAGGACCCCCCTGAAGAAAGGTAAAGTTTTTAAAGTTTAACATGGGCTTTCAGGCACTTGCATGCGTTTTTGCGTTTTGGATGCGTTCCAGACCAGATCCAGAGCAGGTAAAATAGGGCTTGCCGCAGTTTTTTCATCTGGTCTGGATCCGCACGCTGCGATGTGAACTGGAGGTCAAAATACCATAGGAATACATTGGACGCAGTTTTGATCTGGTCTGCACCTGCTCTGGTCCGGATCTGCTCCGCGCTTGGTGTGAACAAGGCCTTAGGGATATGCCAAGTTTATTGCTCTGCTGCTAGATCTGTTTCATTCAGCATAGCAATCTGCTTCATTTAATTTTAACGCTTACCAATCAAGACAAAGAATTGGCAAATTCAAACTTATTGTACAATTTTGCACATGGCAAGTACCCAGCAATATGATTACACTGCCTTGTTCATTAACTTTGGATATCATTTAATATGTAATTGTCTTTGGTTTACAGAAACTGGACTGTCTGATATTCCGCTTGATAGATCTTTTCTTGCCCGGGAGCTTAAATTTGTAGAAGACGCAAATGCTCAGTCTGTGTAAGCTATGGTTTGGGTTGTTTTTTTTAATACTATACACACATTGGCTATACTGTGAATTCACCCAATTCATATTTGCCGTCTTGTCTCTATATTAGTGTGACTAAGAGAAATGGCATTTATAACTCAACCGCATGATTTTTCCAGCAATATTAGCAATTTTGTTTATTTGTATTCAGTTCTGTATTTTCATCTCACATTTGTTGTTCTTGTAACTCTCGGCATGTTTCCAATAGCCCATAGCAATTTCATAATTACACAATATTCCTCATACAGATCTTAGCAAATGTAATTCTTTGTGTCAATGTATTTGTGTTTTTAATGTGTATTCCTGTTCTTACAGGCCAATACTATATGGGATACTCTCACACTTTTTATATGGACACAGAGTTGCTCCTTGTCACTCAGTGCTAGAATGGTCATCAGAGAACCCTACACAGAGACATTTTGAAGGTACTGCAAACCGAATTATGAAAGGTGAGGATCATAACCCTGTTAGGTTTCCACTGCACTGGACAAGAAGCAATAGCTTCTCTTTAGAGTTGGGCAAGATGATTAACCCCTTCATGACTGAGGCCTTTTTTTCATTTTTTGCACCCATGTTATATTCCACATTTTAGGCCTGAAAATTACTTAAAACCCCCACACATTATATATTTTCTGAATGCCAAGACCCTATACAATATAAAGGGGATAATAATGTGCCTGAGGTAGTAGAAAGGCCAAGTCTTTCTCAGCAAGTGTAATCAGAATTGACATTATGTCTGCCAGAGAGATCTTTTCTACCCTGGCTACTGTGATTTTGAAAGAACCATATTCAGCAAGCATTTAAACAATAGCGGGCAGTTTTCATGATGCTATCCTTGCATGCTTAAAGTATATCTTAAGCTAAAACGTTTTTGTTTTGTCTTGTTTGGTCTTATATTTTGAGTGAATAAAACCCCTGTCAGTTTTTGTTTTTTATTTTGTTATCTATGCCACATTGGGGAGTTCCCTCTAAGTTTGTTTCTGTTCAGGTGACACATCCCAATTTTAGCTTTTCCTTCACTTTCATTGCCAGTGACAGTGGTCATCAGGACAAATATAGAGGGTAATTTAACCTATTGACACAAACGGCAATACAAATCTGACAGAGCTTCTAACTCCTTACCACAAAAGTGTTGGCTTTAGATACAGTTTACGCTCCAGGCTAACCATGCTGAGTACAAATCATAATTGGAGTGCTGTTTGTAGCTAAAGTAGCTTCAGCAAGTATCAGAACGACTTCGACTGAACTCTGTTTATTCCTATTGCATGTTTTGTAAGTACATGCTGAACATCATACTTTTTAGACTCCTTATCAAGCGCCGATTAAAAAATGTCTTTGTCCTTCGCTTAAAAGTCAGTTACAGTCGGCAGTACAGATTTCCTGCTGGCTTTAAAGTAATAACATCAACAGCAAGTGGTTGCTGTTGCTAAAATAAGAAGCAATACATCCACCAGTATGTGTGGAGGGGAAAACATCAACAGTAAGAGGGGATCTCGGTTAAAGTGGTCATATAAACACTTGAGCCTTGCAGTAACTGAGACCTTTATATTCTTTAAAGGATAAATGCAATGTTTAATATCTAGCGACACCATGCAGCTTTGCAAATATGTCCTTTTTACCTTTACATTTTCTCTTTGTACCTTCTCTTTGTACCTTCAAAAAAGGCCAAAGCAGATTTAAACATTGCATTGTTGGCTTTCAGCCTGTCTCTGCCTGCACTGCACCTGGATGACAAATGCACCACATATTACTGACCACCTGAAAATTCTAGTTGCTAGGATGTTTCTGACTTTGATTCTTTGAATCACTGACCAACTTGGACCTTGATATCCTTTAAAAGATAAATACAATATTAAAAGAAATTAGCTCTTTTAGTCACTTGGTACCTTACTAGTCATTATGGAGTCCTTGAAGATGAGGAATAATGGTCTCGCTATTTAAGTACCTTTTGGGTGCAGGTTATCTGGTCCTAACTATTTATTTGCATTAAGTTTATCATGTCTTCCTTGCTTCCCAGCTAATTCTAATTGGGAATGCAGGTGAGCCTCCTTTTCATCCCCTATGTTCGGGGGGTTTATAACACACACCCACAATTAGTTTACGACTAGCATCAGTCTTATCCAGTTCCAGCCACAAAGGCTCAAGACCATCGCAACCTCTGTCATGATGTAATCTTGTATGTGCACAGTTAGATTTTTTTTTTTTTTTTACATATAAGCATACCCCAGCACCCTCCTTCTACCAACCCTGTCCCTCCTGAACAGGTTGTACCCTTGTACATTAGTTGCCCAGTCATGTGCGCTGTCTAGCCAAGTTTCTGTTATTCCCACTATATCGAAGTCCTCCTCGAGTAGCATAAGTTTAAGCTCCTCTAATTTGTTTGCTAGACTTCTAGTATTGGTGTACATACATTTAAGTGGTGTCTATCATGTTTGCTGTCTATTTACCCGGCGTGACCCCGTCTTTTATATTTTACCAAAAAATTGTGGTGTTAATAAAAGTTTAATAACATTTCATAGGGAAACAGGTTTTTATTTTCTTCAAAATTTAGGGTACTTTATAACAATTTTGTTATATATTAAAAAAATTAAAACCCCAGGGGTGATTACCACCAAAAGAAAGCTCTATCTGCCCCCCAGAAATGGTATAAAATTAATTTCAGTATAGCGTTGCATGACTGAATAAACGTTAGTCAAAGTACCGCAGTGCTGAATACTGAAAAACGGCCTGGCCAGGAAGGGGGTTTAACACCCTGATCTTCAAGTAGTTAAAGCGGACCTTTACACTCAAAATCAAATTCTACCAATGCATCCCTCTATGTATGATGATTAATAATAACTGACATGTCAGGTGCAAAATGCTGTGATTTTGAAATACACTTGCAGAGCATTGACTTCCTGCTTTGAAAGGGCAAAATGACTTCAGTTTGCCAAAGCAATGCACACTGGGATTGCCTTGTCATCAGCAGAGCATTGCTGGGAAATCTCATCTGTAATCTCACGAAATTTTAGGGAAAGACATTTTCATCCCCTGAGATGATGTGCATGGTCACATGTCCTAGTCTTTAATCTACAGACATAAATTAGTTCTAGTGTACACTGGAAATTCTAGGAATTCAAAGGGTGCTGATTATGACAGGCTGTAGCCTTACAAACAAGCAAGTAATAAACTCAGTGAAACATCTCAATGTTCAAGAATTAATCTACCGTGTTTTTATTCTGTAAATGGTAGGAAAGATTACAGAATAGCTTTGTCAAATGCCTGTGCCTTAGCACATCTGCTATTATTATTTGTAGGTGTGCAGTTTTCCCTTCTCTTTTTTTGTGTGACATTTTCGAGGGCTAGACCTCTAGAAAGTATTTTGTAGTAGCCAATAGGGGGAGCTACTTAGCTGTAATTTTAAAAGCTAAACAGCCTGAAGCATGCTATTAACTCTTCTTTTACCCGCACCTTTTTCTCCATGGTTCTAATCTTAAGTGTTATAATTTGTTTCAAGAATAGAATATGTAAACTCTAAACATTTCTGTCCTGTCACGGAAAAAACCCTAATGCCACATATAGATCTTTATTTAGGATACTGTCTCAGACAAGTAAAGTGGAATGTGCTTACTGGTTATTTCTTTAAACTATTGACATTCTTGGTTTATTGTACTTCGTACCCTGAAGGGGGTATCTTCTTATCTTCCTATCATCTTGTTTTCTCCCTCTTTGTTCCTATTTTCTCTTTTCTGTTACTCTTTTTCTTCTCTGCATGCTTTGGACATTACTGAATGTCAAAAATATGAGTAGGAACTGCTCTGTTCAGCAAATCCTAAGTGACCTGGTAATTTTTTAAAAAACAACCTAAACTAATCTGTCACTTACTCTTCTCTTGTCTTTGTTCACCTATTTTCTATGTTCACTGAGCCCCTCCCTTTTTGTTCCCTTCTCTTCGGGTTCCCCTACTTTTTCCTATGTTATCAGTCATGGCAACACCCTCCTTACATTAGTTCCCCAAATTCAATATATGTTCATGAAAATGTTGTAACTCCAGCTACTATCACTCAATCTGATTACATAATTAATTCACCGATGTATGTTAAAGTTCTTGTTCATTGTCTCTTAAGAACCCGTATATAGTGCTTATTATTAGGGATATACCGATACTAGTATCAATATCGGTGCCGATTCTGAGTATTTGGGCAAGTACTCGTACTCGCCCAAATGCTCCGAAGCCTAGCACGAGTACTTCCGGTATCAGGAAGCCGGGCAGGGCCCGGTTTCGCGATTGACCGGGAAGCGGCTCCGTGCTCCCTCGTCACTTGTGTTGAGACAGCATGGAGCCGACTTCCCGGCCAATCAGGAAGCCGGGCAGCGTGTTATGACGTGCTGCCTGGCTTCCTGATTGGTCGGGAAGCTGGCCTCGTGAGGTAAGGTTACCTTAGTATGTGCAGCCTGTCACCCCTGGGGCCTCTCCAGCGAGAATGCGGCCTTCGTCCGGTACCCAGCCGGAGCCGTCCAATCAGGAAGCCGGGAGCCGTCTAATGACGCGACACCCTGCTTTCTGATTGGCCGTTCATCATCTTTTGACATAAAACTGTTTGTATCTTGGTGGATTTAACTTGTTAAATAAAAAATGTGAAAAAAAACCCCCCTCAGTAATGATGTATCATATATTGCTTCACAAATGCTATGCAGCACCTTGAAAATCAGTAATGTTAACTAAAAATAAAGCTGAAAGTTTATTGACTTGTTCTGAACATTGGCAACAAACTGTTTGGGATTAACTCCATTACAAAGACTAGAGGCCACCACCTAAAGTTGGTGGAGAAAAAATTCCAGCACAATGGGCGAAGAGGGTTCTTTACAGTAAGAGCTGTTAAGGTCTGGAACTCGCTGCCATCGGCAGTGATTTCAGCCACGAGTGTAGATTTGTTCAAGAAATGTTTGGACAATTTCTTGAGGGACCGTAATATCCAGGGATACCAGTATCCCTAAGAATGAGATGATGCGTGGACCTATATGGGTTGGACTTGATGGACGTATGTCTTTATTCAACCCCAAATACTATGTAACTATGTAAATCCAATACTAGCCGGTCTTCAGTTGGCCATTCCTAAATAACCTGATCAGAAACAAACTGTTAGACCTAAGATAATTACTACTTCAACAATTGTGCTCAGGGTGAATCCAGTCCATGATGATAGTTTATAGGAGCTGCTATTGCCATCCACATTTTCATAGAAAAGGCAGAGCTGCTGATCTGCATACTTGTTCCTGGTCAGTGATCAGCATGATTAGTAGTGAACTAGTTTGCTTCATGTTTCTTTCTGCTTAGGTTTTCTTGGTTAACAAATGCATTTGGTTCTGTTTGCCATGCATTGTGCCACACAATACAAAATATTGATCAGTGGGACCAGCAGCTGGAGAGGGGTACAATAAGCACCATGTATTCATGGCAGACTGTCCTTTTGTATATGCTCTCAAAAAGCAGGCTTGTGAGCTAGACCAAGGTGACTACTAAGTAAAGGTCATAGTGAGGCTATCAAGCTCTTATCAGGTTACATCTTGTTGTGTGTTTAATGCTATCTGTTATAGACATTTCCCTTCACTTCCTGTCCTGGTGACTAATGATTTATCAGACAGGAAATTTGTGTAAATTTCCAGGAGTGACGTGCAGAATTTTTTTTTTCTGGAACCTCAAGTCAGTTTTTATCGCATTTTGTGCGCTTGTTCAGATTTTCCATAACGTTCGTACTGGTATTGTCATTGGGACAGAAAGTGAGGGGAAACCTGAAAGGGGTTTTGACACTTCTCATTCTCCCAAAACTAAAAAAGTCTTCACATAACTTACACTTTAATGAAAAAAATTACTACATTCCAATATGAATGAAGAGCGGATCTATATATTGCAGAATGAATTGAAGCTTTGCAATGTTATGGTTTAGTTTAGTTTTTTATTTCCTTACAGGTTTAATTACAATTTTAGGGCCAGTGGGCATAGCTTTAACGACTTAAAGAGCAGGATGTTAAACCCCCTTCCTGGCCAGGCCATTTTTCAGTATTCAGTGCTGCAGTAATTTGACTGACATTTATTCCGTCATGCAACGCTGTACTGAAATGAATTTTATACAATTATTTGGGGACAGACAGACAGACAGACAGAGCTTTCTTTTGGTGATATTTAATCACCACTAGGGATTTTATTTTTTACTATTTAACAAAAAAAAAGTACCACAAATTTTGAAAAAAAACCCCCTGTTTCCCTATGAAATGTAATGAAACATATTTTTTATCACCCCAATTCTTTGATAAAACATAAAAGACGAGGTCACGTCGGGTAAATAGACACCAAACATGTCAAGCCTTAAAATTGCGCGTGACCGCAAAATTGCAAAAAATTACCACATCGAAAATTGTCCATAGGCGCTTTAAACGCTTTTACTGTTTATCAGTTTAGTGTTATCCGGGATGAATGGCCCTAAAATTATTACTCTCCCTCCGACGTTCACGGTGCTATGTAACATGTGCGGCACAATAGGCGGAATCGTCGTTTTCGCACATAGGCGCACCCGACGCATGTTTGTATGTGGGGGGCGGGGGACTTTAAAAAAAAAAAAAAATGTTTTTTTACAAAAAAAATATTTATGCCTTTTTTTACTTTTATTTTTTTTTACACTTAACTTTATTGCTATTACATGGGGTGGCTCAGAAACCCCCTATGTGATGGCCAATTCACACGACCGGTCCTTTTTATGGAGACATCTCCCCAGCTTCTGTAGCTGGGAATCACTGCTGAATGCGGAAGTGATGTAATAAACTCCCTTTGATCTCCTCTCACAGAGCAGCCATGCCAGTCCCGGCCACACCGGGCACAGTGGATCTCGGGAGCGGCAATGACGGTGGGGTGGGGGGCACCTTGTACCTTGTGGGTGGGGGTGCACCTTCCCATGTGCACCCTGCTACAAAGGCTGGTTATAAATCTATGCGGTTATCATCTTTTTCTAGCTTGACTATCTTGGATGTAGTGACGCATTGGGTATCCCAGCATGCATCTGTGGCTGCTGGGCCTCCAGTGCGTCCCTGCACCTTGTGAGGAGGAGTAGGCTACCTGCTGGTACACCTGCATTTAATTTATCAACTGCATCAATATGCTCCCACTAGGAGACTCATAAATAGTTAGGCCCACACTTTACAGAGGTGCCTTGACGGTGGCAGTGTAGCTTCTACATATTTTTGGCCGAAGGTTTGTGCAACTAAAACCTCTGCTTTTAACGTATACTGTTAGACATGGTAATTTGTTTTGTTGCAGGCCAGCTGGCAGGTGTGCTGGGGATTCTTTTTGTTTTACCTTGTAGTAGATGCAGATAGCTGCACCTACTACAAGCGATCTAGAGACAGCATTCCACACAGAGATGTAAAGTCGCAAAATAGCCAACTTCAGTGTGGCTCTCGAAGCTCAGAGGTAACATAGATCAGAGTTGCAGATGCAAAATTACAGATGCAGGAGTGTGAGATCCAAGAGCCATGGAGCTCGGTTAACATATTAACGTGCTAACAGTTAGTATAACAATCCAGGAAAGATCAATCCTAGTAAAAGATATAAGCTATTAAACAATGGATCATCTGGAAATCACAGAGAAGAATGTAGAAAAGGGATAGGGGGAGAGGTGGAGCAATGGAAAAAAACAGAAACCCAAGCGAGGGCACGAAATACAGAGGCCAGGCAGTGACCCAGACAATTATTAGGGGTAAACATCAACAGACATTAGGGAGGAAAAGGGCCCGAGCATGTTCATGACCTGGCGGGGCGTGATCTCCCCTAAAGCAGCACGATGAGTCATTCCACCATCAGTGTACCACATTCTGGGGAATAAAGGTATTCCAACCAGTAGAACCATGTTTTCTGGAATGTTCTATCTGCATGGTGCAGAGTCGCAGTCAGCTCTTTTCATCACGCGTATCCCATCCACCTTTTGAAGCCACATTTTCACTTCGGGCGGCTCATCACTCTTCCAGCACAGGGGAATACAGGCCCTGGCCGCGTTGACCAGATGGATCAGTAGAGACTTGCGATAGCGGGTCCTGGGAAATGGTGACAGGTAGAGCAACACAGCAGCCGGATTCCTGGTCAAAGAAATCCGTTGTGAGTTGTTAGAGAGTTTTGGGATGCAGTCCTTCAAATTATCAGAGGCGCTGGCATGACCAGAAGATGTGCAGGATAGAGCCAACTTCCTGTGTGCATCTCCAACATGTTGGTGAAGTTTGAGGGAACATCTTATGGAGTGTGGCGGGGACAAAGTACCACCTGGTAAGGATTTTGTAGCCAGTTTCTTGGACAGAGCTGGCCATCGAGGCTCTATGTGCAAAGTGTAGCATGTAATCCTTTTGTTCCTGAGTAAAGGTGGTTGCTAGGTCTCTCCCATTTTTGCAAAAAGACAGGGTAAGGCCGATCAGCTATACATGTCAAAAGGGCATAGGCTTTGGCTAGCCCATGATCGACGTACTCGCCTGCTAAACAAATTTCCTCGAAAGGTGTTAAGTTTGAGCGCGGAGGCGGGGAATTCATAGATCTAGAGAGGTAGCTGCGTAGTTGTAAAGCCTGCCATCACAAAAGGGGAGGCGTAACCAGGCTGGCCATCGATTCTAAGCACATAAAATCCTGGGGAGGTCGGAAGTGGGCAACCCGAAACCGATTTGACTTCACTAATCGGTAGAATGAGCTATCCTCTATGCCAGGTACAAAAGTTGGGTCACCTATGACAGGAGTCAATAAGGACGGAGAAGTACCAGGGGGAAGCACTCTGGACAACGCTTTGAGCACACGGACCGTGACACCCGCGAGTGGATGGTGGATAATCTCCCTAGGAAGGGGTTGTGACATTAACAGCAATCCTGCCTGTGGCCAGGGAGAGGCAGCCTCTTCTAGTTGTAGCACCGTTTGTCAGAAGAAACATGACACCACTTAAATGCCCGAGCCATATGTACAGCCAGGTGATAGCGAAGGATTTAGGCAGCGCTAAAAGGGTTTTATTCAGCCTGTACGCTACATTCACCCACAGAAAGGATATGAACTACCTCCGCGCTGATTTCAGGAACAACATCGGGATACACACTGGCAGGGTCTGTAGAGTAGCCGCGGAAGAATGTTAATTTTAAGTACGCCGTTCCTCTCAAACCACGAAAGCGTACGGCCCGACCACTTGGTAAGATCACGGCGAATGGCTGAGAGAAATGGTGGAAAGTTTGCCTAGAATACTTTATCAACGGATGAGGTTAGTTTTGTCCCCAGGTACGTGACATGCGTGGACGACCAGTGAAAGGGAAAGGCCGACTGTAGGCCCGCCAAGGTGGATGGAGCGACTAAGGTTCAAGGCCTCGAATTTCTGTAGGTTTATCTCAAAATTTGATACCGAACAGTGGGTTCAGTCAGTATGAACAGTAGGTCATCCGTGTAACCCGCAATTTTGTGAGTCCTGGGGCCCCGGTAACAGTCTAGAGACGTCTGGGTTAGCTCAAATTCTGCAGAGTAGAGGTTCCAACGACAGAATAAAGAGCAAGGGGCAGAGTGGGCATCCATGCCTGGTACCGTTTGATAGTGGGAAATACTCATAGTATGTACCATTGACTCGTACCCAGGCCGTGGGTATAGAGTAGATGGCAGAGATCCACCTGCACAGGTTATGCCCATTGCCCGGAGCGGCAGTGAAACGACCAGTCTACACAGTCAAACGATTTTTCCGCGTCAGTGGACAATAGGATGGTGATACGTTTCTCTGTAACAAGGTGTATCGCATTCATCACCCTAACCCGTGTTATCCTTGGTGTCTCTTCGCAGTATGAATCAATCAGTGTGGATAAGCTTGCAAACGACTTCCAGAAGACGGTTTGTCCAAAACCTTCGAGAACAGCTTTAAGTCCACGTTCAACAAGGAAATTGGGTGGAAGCTGGAACAGAGAGAGGGGTCTTTCCCTTCTTTGGGGATGACGGTGATGGTGGCTCGAAGGGTGTTGGCCGGGAAAGAATGACCAGAGAGCAGGGAGTTGTATGCCTTTAGAAACTGCATTGTTGACTGTTCTCTAAAGGTCTTGTAATAGCGAAGAGAGAAGCCATCAGGTCCAGGGGCCTTACGTGGCTTCATTTGTTGCAGGGCCCTTGCCCACTCCTCTGCAGAGATAGGGGAGTCTAAATCCCCTAAATAATAAAGTGGGTAAGGTCTTGACTGACTCGAGCTGTCAGAAGGGCGTCCTCGAGTAGAAGGCCATTGAGCTGCCAATGCCACGATCTGGCCCCCTCTGCATGGAGTATCGTGTGCATCAGAATCGGGCCATGATCAGAAATCGTGAGAACGTCAATAGATGTGCAATGCACTTCATGAAGATCGCTATGCTTAACCAGAAAGTAATCTATCCTCGAGTACACTCGATGTGCCAAGGAATAGAACGAATAGTCCCGTTCTTGGGCGTGCATAAGGCACCACTTGTTCAGCGTGGAGAGTTTTCAGGAACCGTCGGAGAAAGGAGAGGTGTGAAGCACGTCTGGAGACCTCTAGTTGTGGGTCATGGGCGACATTGAAGTCTCCCCCCACAACAATAATCCCCTCTGCAAAATCAGACCGGGCGTTTGGAAGCATTCCTCCAGGAAGGAGATCTGATCTGAATTGGGGATGTAGATGTTGACTATGATGGCCCGAAGCCATGGTGGACCATGATGGTCAACATCTACATCCCCAATTCAGATCAGATCTCCTTCCTGGAGGAATGCTTCCAAACGCCCGGTCTGATTTTGCAGAGGGGATTATTGCAGAGGGGATAATTCAGATTACCAGGGAGCCAAAAAATCTCCCCTTGAAAAATTGATATCTGGCCTCACCATCACCCAATGTGGACAGATGCTGCCACCCTGAGTTTTTGGCTACCAGCACACTGACCCCGCTGGATTTGGTGATGGGGGACAAGCTATGGTAGACAAATGGGAAGCGTGCATCAGTCTCAGGGTGCAGTGCGACCCGAAGTGCGTTTCTTGGAGGTACGCTACCTGCACTATGTGTCTCCATAAGTCGCCCTGGACCTGCGACCACTTCTCAGGGATGTTTAGACCCTTCACATTCCAGGATATGAATCTCGTAGGCATGACTTCACCCCCGTCACACACCTGCCGGGCCATGTCTGTGAAAGGAGGGAGGGGAAATGAGGCCAAGAAACAAAGAGAGAAGGTAGATAGAGAGGTGGAGAGAAAACAACGAGAGGGAGCAACGCACAAGAAGGGATAAATGGACAAGACAAAGATGAAACAAGACAGTGTCAACAAACAAATTCTAGAACTAAAACAGCCCTCAACGCTCTCAGTGAAGAAGGATCCTAAGTGGGGGAATGAGAAGCAAGGAAGCTCAATGAGATGCTCACCTAAGTACCCAATTAGGTAATACACCCCCAAAATACACTGGAGCATTACAGGGGTGTGGACATTTTGGAAAAAACTACTTGTCCAAGGACTAAAGCGGGGGCCGAATCTACTTGTCCTTCATGACAATCTACTTGTCCTGATACAAAAAAAATAATTTTAACCAAAACCGTATTTAGCAGTGCTAAGAAGCGCTCCTCATTGGTCAGTGCCGTCAGATACAGATAGTACACCCGTACTGGTGGAGGGGGAAGGACCGTTCGCCGAAAGGTAAGTATAGTGGGAGGGAGATTTGTGCGGGTAATTCCATTTTCCCAAATTACTTGGGAAAGTGAATTTACCCTTTAGGGTGGGTGCAGACCTGCGTCTGCATGTATGGGGTTGCAATCGCTGAAAAAAAGGTACATGTACCTATTTTCACGACATGCACCGCGCAGTGTTTTCAACCATGATCGTGTGGGATCGCCCGGGTGTTATTGCTGCAGGAAAACACGCAATCTGCCTGGCACGACTGGGGTGCAATTAGAAAATAATGGCACTGACAGCACGATCGGCGGTGGTGTGCGATTCCGTGACCACCCAGCCATCCGCTCGGTTTCATAGTTACATAGTATTTGAGGTTGAATAAAGACATTAGTCCATCAAGTCCAACCTATAGGATTTCGTTTTTAGGAGTACTTGTACCCCTGTATATTACTGTCCCTTAAAAAATCGTCCAAAAGTTTCTTGAACAATTCCACGTTTTTTGCTGAAATCACTGCCTGTGGCAGTGAGTTCCAGACCTTAACCGCTCTAACTGTGAAGAACCCCCTTCGCCCCCTGTGCTGGAATTTTTTTTCCACCAATTTTAGGTTATGGCCTCTAGTCTTTGTAACGGAGTTCATTTTAAATAGTTTATCGCCAATGTTGCTGGGGTGTTCGTGCACGATGACCGGGCAGTCACAGATCGCACACCACCGCCGATCATGCTGGCAGTGCCATTATTTTCCAATGGCACCTCAGTCGTGCCAGGCAGGTTGCGGTGTTTTCCGAGCGGTAGCACACAATCGCAGTTTATTCACATGCAGATG